TACATTCCCTGAATCCAGTCTTCAAATACTACTATGCCTAAGACCTTGTCTAGCCAAACCCTATGACCATCAGCTTCTGCCATTTGTCACCATCTAAGATAGGCAGTAGTGGCACTTTCCAGTCCTGTTTCCCCACAGGTTATGTAGGTGTCATGTGCCACCTGGGGGAGTGTCATGAGAACCTGCTGCTGTGGTAGTCACAAGAGCCTGGACTGTGGTGCGTATCCCAGATGTGGTCCTGCCTGTCCCTTCCCAACCTGTCTGTCTCCCAGAGACTGCAAGAGTCAGCTTCCTGTTGCTATAGAGAAATACTAGTGGTAATGAGCTTATAAAATGTACCACCACTACTTCTGGAAGTTTCAGTCCCAGATGGAGTAGAAGAGCAGCACAGGGCAGTAGGAGTGTGTGGAGGAGAAAAGGACTCCATTGACAAACCAGGAAGCCAATAGGGAGAAGAGGAGACCCACAGTGCCCTTAAAGGGACATACCTGCTGTGAATGCAAGACCTCCCCAAAGCTCCACCTCTGCCATAGCACCTCTCACTAGCTAGACACTCAGCACTCAAACCCTTGCAAGAGACCTGCACACCTAGAGACAGTCCGTGAACATATGGGGCTACGGTGAAGAGCTGTGATGGGAGCTGATTTGCGAAATTCTTTCCTTACAGAACCAGAGGAGCAGCATTAGTGTGTGTGTGTGTGGGGGGTCTAGTTCACTCTTCAAAATGCATGGGGTGAAAGTGGCCCTCAGTGCCAGGCTCCAGGCTGAGTGGTACTGAGGGAGGTGTCACAGTATCTGTTCGTAACTGATGTCCCCTGATGTGCACAGTGTCCTCAAGGAGCTGTGGAGTGTTGTTACCATGACAACTGTTTTCACGTCCCTGGGGATCGTGGTGGGAGACAGGTAGTTAGACTCGGTTGTTTTCAAAGATGCCAATAAAACCTTAAAAAAAAAAGTATTTATTCTGTATACAGTGTTCTGCCTGCATGTATGACTGCAGGCCAGAGGAGGGCGCCAGATCTCATTACAGATGGTTATGAGCACAGTATGGCTGCTGGGAATTGCATTTAGGAACGCTAGAAGAACAGCCAGTTCTCTTAACCTCTGAGCCTCTCTCCAGCCCAATAAAACTTCTTTATCCTTAAAATTCTCACCTACCTGCCAAGTGAATTAAGGCATTGGTTTTGTTGTTGTTTTTGCACAAAGCAACTAGAAGCCTGAATACATCAATGTGTCTGATATAAAAAGGATATCAGTCAGTCAGGTAGTGGTGGCACACGCCTTTAATCCCAGCACTCAGGAGGCAGAGGCAGGTAGATCTCTGTGCATTTGAGACCTGCCTGGTCTACAGAGCTAGTTCCAGGACAGTCTCCAAAGCCACAGAGAAACCCTGTCTCGGAAATACGAAACTGAAAAAGGGCATTAATCAACCATGTGGCATGTAACTCACCTCCTCCCGGCACTGGGAATCAAATATAGGTCTCCTCAGAGAGAAGAATAAAGATGCGAGCCTTTAAAGGGCAGTATGTCCTGATAATCCGGGGGGGGGGTGGAGAACGGAACCCCTGGGGAGGAGAGTTACTAGGGATGAGGAAGGCAGGGTCTGCTCTCCTGCAGTGCCCCACTGGGTTGTGACCCAGTCCTCCTGTGCGAGCACTCGGGTTCTGATGCTCTTTGGACATTTTCTATTCCACTCACCAGCTCAAAGCTCCTTGATACTTGTTATGCATCCCAAGATCAGATGCAGGGTCCAGGCAGAGAAGAGAGGAAAGGAGGGGGCAGAATGGTGCCTCCATGGCAAAGTCAGCAACTTGCCCATAAACCTCAGACGCTGTACAATACTGGCAGCCAGGTCCGCTGGGACAGCCAATCATCTAAGCAGATAGGTCCTGGATGATGCTTGTCAGTGAGCACGAAGGGCAGCCCAGCAGCTGCATCTACCGGTTCCTCCTGGGGCATGTCCATTGACAGTGTTATTTGAGTCTAACAATGGCAGAATTCTACTTCTAAAATCGGCCCATCCTAGAGTCAGCATCTCATAAAACCACACCCATGTGTTATCATAGATGCTGTGTGTGTGGGGGTCTTCAGAGTAAGCCCTCATATGATTGAGGTCACTGAGGAGGAATTCACTTTTGGCTCGCTGGCAGATTTCCATTCCTGCAGGTGGTATACAGGTCTCTGCTCCCCCCCCCCCCCGTATCTGCAGAACCAACAAATGTCATTTCCCGTTCTCTTTTGAATTTGACATCTGTCACAGCTGACTAACTGGAAGAAACTCTCTGGTTTTAAGGGTCTTGCAACTAGACTGGACCCACCTAGCCATTTTATGATCACCCCCTTTAAGGTCTACACCCCTAATTATGTAGGTGGAGAGCCTCTTGCCATGGAACACTGCATATGCATAGGTTCTGGGATTGAGGTATGAATGACTCTGGGGGTCATCTGCCTGATGCTGAAAGATCAAGGATGTAGACATACAACAGTGGTCAATCTTCACTGTCACGGGACTTTCTGCCTGCTCACACGTGAAGCATTGGCTCACATGGGGATAGATTCCAAGGACAGGTAGATGTAAGGCCCTGACTGTGCCAGAGCACCCAGGAATGACGTGTACTGGTGACAAAGTATGGACAGGCTACAGCCCAGGACCAAGACTGCATCCAGGAAACTGCAGGCTGGCCCTGACGGGCAGTGTGCCTGGACTCAGCTCTTTTCTGTCTCACCCAGGGCATGTGACAATAGGACATACTGGGATTAAAGGCATGTGGCCAGCTTCAGGTCACTGTCAAGTCACTTGTGAATGTGTGCACACGGATGTCACAGTGCATGAATGCAGGTCAGAGTATAGCTTTATGGGCTCGTCTCTTCTTCCACATTTGTGTGGGCTCCAGGGTACTGAACTCAGGTGTGTCTAGGCAGGCGCAGCAAGCGCCCCACCTCTGAGCCAGCCCCAGGTCTCACTCCTGCTCTGCTTGTGCTTCAGGAACTGCATCTGTGCTAAGCTAACCATGTGCCCTTCTCAAAAGTGTTTGTGATTTGGCTGTTTGTCATAGTCTTTTCCAAGCATCTCTTTTGTCATGTGTTGCGGTTCCTTCATTCTCTATATCAGATTGAGGTGGAACTACCACACCCAAATTGGCGATTCCCTGTGTTTTGAGACACTTATTTGACTAGCTGGGTTACATAAACATGCCATGGTTAGAAGACAACTCTCCATCATGTGGGTTCTGAGGATGGAATTTAGGTTGTCAGGCTTGGTGATTAGTGAGTGGCTTTACCTGCTAAACACCATCTCCCAAAAGTATATATTTTTTCTTTTTTTTAAAGATTTATTATGTATATCATGTTCTACCTGCCTGCATCCCTGCAGGCCAGAAGAGGTCACCAGATCTTATTACAGATGGTTGTCAGCCATCATGTGGTTGCTGGGAATTGAACTCAGGTCCTCTGGAAGAGCAGTCAGTGCTCTTAACCTCTGAGCCATCTCTCCAGCCCCTGAGTATATCTTATCCTTCCTTTAATGTGAAATCCTTCTCTGGGACAGATTCACTTATCTGTTCCTGACTTCAGAAGTAAATTGCAAAAAATTGTCACTGGAATCCAACAGTCCCATTGACTGAAAGTCCCTTGGGCGCTGGAAAGATGGCTTAGTGTTTTAGAGCACATGCTGCTCTTGCTGAGCACCTGTGTTCAATTTGCAGCACCCACATGCTGGTTCACAACCATCAGTAACTCCAGTTACAGTGTACATGATGCCCACTTCTGACCTCAGAGTACTAGGCATACATGTGGTGCATATACATACATGCAGGAAAAACATTAATGTACATAACTTTGGAAGGGAGGAGAAAGTTACTGGGTTTGGGATTCAAGGGGGGACAATGAAGCAGATTATTGTCTTTTTGGGTTATAGAGTTATTAATGTCATAGACAACAGCATGGAAAATCTGAGGAACGTTCAGAGCTACATGGGTAGGGCGGGGGTTCCCTTCTTATAGACTTCACAGGAGATGGGAGGTTTCAAGCCATACAGTTGGGCATTCCACATACAAGCCTGCAGTCAGGCTGTTCCTGACTGAATTCAGGAGAAGGAGTGTGTTGCCCTGAGAATTATGGGAAGGAAAGGTACATTTAGTTAAGGTGTATCCATTATGTGGGTGGGTGACGAGCTGTCCCTGGCAGCCTGCCTTTTGATGCCTTGGAGTCTGGTACCCTGGCATGTAAACTGCCTTGGGGAATTGAGAATTATGGTACCTGCTATTCCTCTGGAATCCAGGCACCTAGAGAGTTAAGAGGTTACAGAATCATAGTGGCTCCCAGGAGGGCACTTGTCACTTCTGATACAGGAAACCATGAGAAAAAGTCTGCCATAGCAATTAGCAATGAGCCCTTAGCCCAAAACCTAACATCCATAACCCGTTAAGTATAGCAAATGCTAGCTGGGCAGTGGTGGTTCACACCTTTAATCCCAGCACTTGGGAGGTAGAGGCAGGCGGATCTCTGAGTTTGAGGCCAGCCTGGTCTACAGAGCAAATTCTAGAACAGTCAGAGTTACTCAGAGAAACCCTATCTCAAAAAACCAAAGCCAAACAAACAAAAATATACAAATTCTGTGACCAATGTCCAAAGGACAGACAGAAGAAACAAGCAGCTAAAGCTACCAGAGAGAGAATGAAAGGTGTGTTCCCCGCCACATGGAAAATTCTTTCCTACTAACATCTCCCACTGGCAGATAACCGTTGATAAGCCAAAGAAACCCAAGTATCAAGTGTCCTCCTAAGAGCACAGGAGAGCCCACGATCAAGGACCCCTTGAACCAGAGTCCAGACAGCTACCTTGGAATGAGGAAACCTTTGGCTCTAGTTGGCCTCAGACTTGCCCGTTTTACCATTAATGCTCCTGGAACTTTGAGGGTCAGAGCCTGGGCTCTGGCAGTCCTGACACCATACCCTTGGGCACATATCCTCATTTAGTCCAACTAAAGAGACAATAGAAAAGCAGAGAACGGAGATTTATTTCAGTGTGGCCACATTGGGAAGACCAACAAATAGAAGTCCAGTGTGGTGATTGGAAAGAAAATGGCCCCCATAGGCCCACGGGGAGCAGCACTATTCTTGTGACCTTAAAAAAGAGAAGAAACGGTCAAAGTTGATGGTAAAGCATGAGCGCTTGCTATAGCAATGAAGCCTGGAGAGGGATGGAAGTGCTCCTTCAGGTCTCTTGGTGAAGGGCGCTGAAGAGGCTGCCAGATCTGTCCTGTGTGTGTGTGTGTGTGTGTGTATATGCATGCATGCATGTGTCCATCTGTCTGTCCTTGTTGGAGTAGGTATGGCTTTGTTGGAGGGGGTGCATCACTAGGGGGTAGGCTGTGAGGTCTCGGAAGCTCAAGCCAGTTCTCCTCCGTCTTCGGGAATGTAGGATCCCGAATGAAGAACTCTCAGCTCCCGCTCCAGTGCCACCATGCTCCCCACCATGACAAGACCGGGCTAAACCTCTGAACTGTAAGCCAGCCCCACTTCAATAAAAGTTGTCATGGTCATGGTGTCTCTTCACAGCAATAGAGACCCTAACTAACTAAGACACCCAGTGACCCTCACCTCAAGTTCGTCTTCCGGCCTCGTTCTAGGAAGTTTAAAAGAGCATGAAGAATGCATACCTAAGCAATCCTAGTCAGGGTGTGGCCCTCTTAGCAGCATTGTCTCAGCTCCAGTTCCTTCTGCAGGGTGATCTGACCAGCTTCTAGAGCTGTGTGAAATCCCTTCCAGGGAGACAAGTTCCTCTCTTGACTGCATCTGCCTTCAGCCTTTCTTTTCCTCCAGCCTGCGACTCCTGAGGAAATTCCATTTCCTTGGGAACCATTGTTTCAATAATCTGGTAGCCAAACGGAGGAGCATAAATGTCTCTTTAGAGTATCTTCATTTCTGCCAGGACCGTTACAGAACCTCATATAAACCTTGAAGTCACAGACAGAACTGTCATTGTCTACACGGCATCCTTTTGACTAGTTGGAAAAAATAAAAAAATAAAATAAAAAAAAAGGAAAAGAAAAAAAAGGCAAGCTAGGAAAACAGGGAGACCCAAGATCCCAGTGACATTTCCTGGGCACCTTGTTCATGAGAAAGCTATACAAAGTCTTCAAGGGCTTCAATGAGGGTAATTGCTGGTATCTAATTTGAGTAGCGCTTCCCTGAAGGCTGGCAGTTGCCCAATTTAGGATTCTACAGTAAGGCTTGGAGGAGTAGAACTGGTACCTTTGGCTCAAAGCCAGTTCCTTGTGCCTCCCCTGGAGATCTCCAAGCATCCTCACTTTCGGGGAACAGCAAGGATGCAGGGAACTAATTGGGTGGTGACTCCGTTATGCCCCCCCCCCCCCCCCCCCATCTCCAAGGAAGGACCTACACGTGCAGGATCGTAGGCCGTGTGGACACATGTCCTGGGAGGCTCAGGACACACAAAAAGTCTTAGTTGAAAGTGGCTGGGTTGAAGGTGGCACTGAGCCAATGGACCGAAGGCGGACGTCTGGTACAAAACCGTAAGGAATGGGGCTCGACAAATTTCATGAACTTAGAGGAAGTTCCTAAGGCAAGAAAGGATTGTTCTTTCTCCAAGCACAAGCCATCACGCTTCTGGCTCATTATTTGAAGTTAAATCGTAGTCACTAGAGTCCATCGGTTCTGGCCCATTGGCAGGCGAGATAAGACGAACATGACTACCGATCAAGGGCTGAAGTTTCCTCAGAAACAGAAATTTCTCAAACCTGAACCTGCTCCCGGTGTACCGTTAATCTTCAGCATCTACCTGGAATGTCTCCACAACTAGAGTCAAGTCCTTGCTACCTAGCTTACTAAATAACGCATTCTTGGTTTCTTTCGGAGGAAACAGAGCCTAAAGCACTTCCTAGGGGACCAGAAGCACGCCAAGCGCAGCAGAGGCCGTGCGCAGAAGCACAGTCACGCCCTCTTTGGGACGTAGCGTGACGCCAGTGGAGACCGGGCTTAGGGGAGGAGCCTCATCCGGCTTGGGGCGGTACCGAAGTGGGTCACGTAGCTCAGGTCTCTGGCTTGGGCCACGTCCCGCGTCGCATTGTCCTCCAGGCCCAGCGTGCAGTTCCTCCGCCACCATGCCGATGTTCACCGTGAACACCAACGTTCCCCGCGCCTCCGTGCCAGAGGGACTTCTCTCCGAGCTCACCCAGCAGCTGGCGCAGGCCACCGGCAAGCCGGCCCAGGTTTGCAGGGAGGGTACAGGACGAGAGTGGGGAGGGAGGGCCCGCCCGCCCCGCCCGACCGCCGGGTAGAGGAAGAATGGGGCTGGGAACCAAGGCGGGCAGCCGGTGGGTGGCGGCTGGAGTTCCCTGGATGACCTGTGGCCCCGTGGTCCTTCAGGCGGGCTAACCGCGTGCCCATCTCCCCTCCCCCGCAGTACATCGCAGTGCACGTGGTGCCGGACCAGCTCATGACTTTTAGCGGCTCTAGCGACCCCTGCGCCCTGTGCAGCCTGCACAGCATCGGCAAGATCGGCGGCGCGCAGAACCGCACCTACAGCAAGCTGCTGTGCGGCCTGCTGGCTGATCGCCTGCACATCAGCCCGGACCGGTGCGTGGGGGGCTGGGTGAGGGGCGCTGGGAAGTGGGCGCGGGGGGTCAGAAGTCGCCGCCACGCTCGCCGAGTCCGCGTGTTTGGCTGAGCCACGCTTTCATTCTCGCAGGATCTACATCAACTATTACGACATGAGCGCGGCCAACGTGGGCTGGAACGGGTCCACCTTCGCTTGAGTGCTGGCCTCACTTACCTGCACCGCCGTTCTTGGAGCCTTGCTGCACGCCTCGTTCTGTTTTCGTCCACCCGTAGCGACGCCCACCTTCCGATCGGGAGAAATAAATGGTTTAGAGACCACGGTTGCCCCAACTTCTGCTTTCTTGGTTTGCAGAGAAATTGGTGCGGGGCGGAGGTGGGCCGGGGCGTGATGGCGGGCTCGGAGTTGGCTGGTTTGGCTCTCTCAAAACCAGTGGTCTAGATGTCCTTTCGTCCAGGCTTTCCTATAGTGGCCTTACCTCTAAAAGAGGTTGACTTATCACCTGGGGCCTCAGGCCAAGAGTCATATCAGAACTTCCCAAGCCAGTTGTTGCATCCTGAAATAGGTTCTCTGCCCTGGGCGGGAATCTCGAACTGTGTTCCTACCACAGTGGCAAATGGCGACGGCGATGTGCTTTCGCGGGAGAGTGGGTTGCTCAGGCAGGAGAAGGGTGGGGATAAGTTGATACCAAGTTAGTTCCTCCTAGACCACACTCCCAACTCTGTTCTGCTCAGGTGAGCAGCCACCTCGCGCCCCCACCATTGCAGTTCCTAGGAAGTACACGCTTAGGTCTTAGGTGTACACTTCCTACCAAACCCAGGGATCCCAGTGGGTGCGACTGGGCAGAATCCCACACTTAGGAGCCTACTGCTGCTCCCTAGTGTGAGGGCCTTCCAGCTAGGGAAGCCTAGCTGCGATTAATCTCTCAGGGTTGACTTGAGTTTGCCGAAGAAAAGAGCCTGGCCAGGTGGTAGTGCCTTATGGTCTTTAATCCCAGCACTCTGGAGGCAGGCAGGCATCTCTTAGTTCAAGGCAGCCTGGTACACAGAGGAACCCTGTCTCAAAAAAAAGGAGCCTGTAGCACCCTGGGCACGTGGGCTGCCCTTCCAGAGAAGTCTAACTCTTGATACATGCACCCCATTCCTTAGATTTAGGAAAGGTGGCATCTTGCCTCGGTAGACTCCTGTGGGTCCCCAGACCCCTTGCTCTCAGCTTCTAGTCCAGGTATGAACATTCTAGATGAAATGGGATTTTTTTTTTTTGGTAAGAATCCCAAGGAATTCAGATTTGCTTTTGGAAGCTTAGGGGCCCTGCCTGGGAACAGGAGCCCCTCTACTCCTGACTGGGAGTGAGGAACTTAACTAAACCTGACAGCTGTGGCAGGCCTTCCTGAATGTGCAGACGAGCCACCTGAGGCCTAGTGTTGTCGGTACAGAGTCCTTGCTGGGCAGGATTGCCAGGGTCCCTGCCCATTGTACTTTGTCATTAGCGGAATAAACACCCAACAGGCCAGGCTTGAAGCCAAATAAATTGTGGGTATTTTCAGAACTATCCAGGCCCTGGAGGTGCCTAAACTAGTCTAGGTGCCACTTAGGTCCACATCCTCTCCTAATTAGCATCTACTGCTGCTTTGGCCGTGCCTACCTAGGATATGCATCCGGGCACCTTGCTAATCTGTTGTGCTTAGGTTTAGCAGACTTGACCCTGGGAGAAGGGAAGGCCCATACCAGATACATCACCCCCAGCACTAGATCAGGACAGAAGTAGGGACAGAAGGGGTGGAGTCAAAGCTCCTGAGATTGAATCTGTAGGAGTGAGTATAGGTCCCTTCTCAGTTTAGAGACCAGCCATCCCTGGAGGTTCCCAAAGCAAGACCCTTCCTAGCTTAGTATAACCTGCCAGGGGCCTCTAGTTACCTAACATTTCCTGCATTCATGGAGGCGCCTCACTGCCGACAAGCTGGGAGGTGTGCCCATGCTACAACCATAGTAGCAGTTTGGAGCTGCCCTCTTGAATCTGATGTGGTAGGCTACCTTCCATCCTCAGCCCGGGGCCTTTGCTACATCCCCTTAGTTCCATCGTACCCCGAGTCACATCTCAGAACCTCTTATTTCTGCTGATCTCATGTCCCACTACCCTCCCCCCCCCGTGTGCCCAAGCAAGACTCCCCCATTCCGCTCTACACAGAGAAGGGGAGGGCTCCGGCCTCCACCGGCTCTAGTCCAACTCCCTCATTTCACAGATGAGGACCCTGACCCTGAGGTACTTGGTTGTCTCACTGCTGTCTCCCAAGGCAGAGTATGGACTTGCCTCGTTTCCTCAGCAAGGGCTCTGGTCTAAAGGCCACAAATGGGCCTACAGTTAAGGTCTGTGGCAGGTTCTGGCCGAAGGGCCGTGCAGGAACCTAACATTGAGGTCTCTGTGGCAGAGGAGGCAAGCTGGACACCTGCGGTGTGTGTGTGGGGGGGAGGGCGGGCACATAGTTGAAGGGGATCACATGAGCCAGAAGAGCCACCCCCCAAAAAAGAAAAGCCTCAAATGTTTACGGCTCTGTAACCAGTGGGAGCATCTACAAAGAGGTCACACCTTAGTATGCGAAGGAAAAAAGCTTGGAATAAGAGCCTGTGACTTCAGCCCTCCACATTTCTTGGCCAGCCTAACGTTTGCTTGTGTCTCCGTCCCTCATCTCATCCCAGTCAGCCCTGGCCAGCCCTACTTCCTCCAAAGCATGATCCTTCACTGCCCACTGAGTGAGGCTGGCTCCTTCTCAAAACCAAGGCCCACGGGCCAGTCAGCTTTCCAAGCGTCAGTTAAGTAGCATATCCTGTGATACCTCAAACTTCCAGGCTGGATAGGTGGAGTTGGGCAGAGAATGCCACCATTCTTCCATAGGGCCATGCCATCTAATGAGGTTGTCAGCCTGTATGGTGGCCCCTACCGGTGCCCATGATCATTGTTTGACACAGCTGGCCAGCTCTGTCAAGTCCTGTACCTTTTCAGGTGCCACTCCCGCGCCTGTTCCCCATGGAGTTGCTCGGGCCCACTCCATGCGTGCCCTTCTGGTGCAGAAGACACTCATAAATGCCTCTGTCTTGGCCCAAGCCTCTTAGACGGGTTGTGGATTCCCAGGGCTACTCCCTGCTCTGGCCGTCCCGACTGCTGCCCTGTCCTCAGGGCTTCTTAAGCAGTGCAGGCTCTCCCCGGAAGCTCCCTCTAACCCTGCCCTCCTATCAGGCACAACTGCATCTCAGAGACCCCCACCGTCCCTTCTCCAGAACCCGAGCCTTAGGGATCACCACACCCCTTCTCACCCCCAATCCTCACCTGGGAGCCATCTCCCTAGTTTTACCCCACCTTGGGCCTCAGTTTCCCCCATCTGTGAAATGATGGGGTTCACCATAGGTCTTTTTTCCATATTCACCCAATCCTGAAGATGGATGAGACCATTTTATAGCGCAGGTAGCCTGTGCCTGTACTCAGGTCTTGATAAATTGTGAAACCCCTCCGTTTGTGCTGTGCATTTGGAGTCGAGGTGTATAGTGGGGCATCTTAGAGAGCTTCACCTAATGCACTGGCCAGGCCTGGAGCACAGGGCTGAAATGCATCGACCAGGGGCCAACATCCCCGCCGGCCCCATGCTGGAGGGTCTGCCTCTCTCTTAGCTGGCAGGTAGCATGGCCAGTCTGCTTCACTGCCTTCAGAGCAATGGATAAAAATGGAACAGGGTGGATCTTCCAAAGCAATTGTTGGGAGAGTTGAGGAGTTTTTGTTGTTCTTTGTTTGTTTTGTTTTAAACTGGACGCTTGGGTTCATAATCTACCACCTTAGCTTCCTTGTATTATATAAGAGCTTTTAGGAAACCAATGGGTGAAGAAAAATGGATTTATTTACAGTTTTTGGCCAAATTATTTAAAGGAAAAAGACTTTTGAGTTTTTCTTTGGCTTTCTTGTATCAGGGTATCATCTCCCATAGTAAAGGAGTATATATATACACGTGTGTGCGTGCTCGGGCACGCGCGCATGCGTGCGTGTGTGTGTGTGTGTGTGTGTGTGTGTGTGTGTGTGTGTGCCGAGCTATTATTGTATACATACATATGTGTATTATGTATGTATATATGTACATGAACATATTATATATATACATACACATATGCATACAGTATAATACTATAAGTGTCACAGCTCTGAAGGGAAAGGTATCCTGGCAGTCAGGAGCCAAGGAGTACCACAAAACAAACCTTACAGAAGAGACTTATTGGGAGGGGAAAACCCAGGAGGGTGACTGCCTC